TCACAAATTCAAAAGTAAAAGTAGAGATTTTAGGTGAAATTGAATTGAAACTAATTTCAGCTATTTTGTTTTAAATAATTACATCTTTTCAATTTAGTTTAAAATATTTATTCAGACTGCAGGTAACTGTTCATATTTTCTACAGACCTGCAGAATGGAAACACTGGACTTGCCAACGCTGAAACTCTCGTCTATGAAGGAGTGGAAGGAGGAAACATCACAGTCGAATGTAAATTTTATTTCCCAGGAAGTAAGATGTTTTTCTGCAAAAAATGTAAAAAAGGAAATGTTCTCATTGAAACACCTGATTACACAGCTCAGAGCGGCAGATACAGCATTACATTTGTAAAAATGGATTTACTGTCAAAGGATATTGTGTACGTGAGCATCACACAGCTGAACAAGTCTGATTCAGGATGGTACAGGTGCACACTGGACAGAAGTTTACAACCATGTGATTTCAAGATCTTTGTCAAAGAAGGTGAGTCTCTACTAAAAACTCTTCTTCATGTTTTTGAACCAACATTTACTTCTCAATAGTAGCTTGTTTTCTATTTAAATAAACTCCATATGTTATTACTTGCATGCAGACAAACAAACAAGGAAAGAATCAGACAAAAGACTTGCTTGTTCACAGCTTCAATCATTTCAACATCAAACATAACTTCACAACTTTCTTCAACATCAGTATTTCTCTTTTCAGGCTCTACAAAAACAGAAACTTCCATGTCACAACCACAATGCAGTGAAACTAGACTTAAAAACGAGGATTAAAATAGATTTACAAAATATATTTAAACAAACTAAATTTAAACATTGTTTTCTCAGCATTTTTAAAATATCTGTGATAATAAGAGATGCATGGATGTTGACATACTGAAGTCTCTGAATGTTAAGCAACACATCCTCACATGCAAAACACACATTAACCCCCATTACTCTCATGCAAAAGCAGGAATCTTATAGTTTTGATTGCTTCTGTGTTTGCAGCTTTAATCACGTCACCATCAAACAACACTTCACGACCTTTACTAATATCAGTATTTCTCTTTTCAGTCTCCATGACAACAACAAGAACAACAACAATTCCTGGCTCAGGTACGTCATGCGTGCATGTCTGTGTGAATGGAGTGTGCATCCATCCATATGTCTGTCAAAGAACCTCATCCATGTTCATGAATGAAACATCAACAGCTGTGTAAGCACCGGTCTGATTTATTACTGAAAATGCAGAAATGGTAAATGGCCTGTATTTGTATAGTGCTTT